AGAGAAGACAACATACCTTGCAATGTTGTAGCAAGACAACCAATTAGTTCGAGGGTATAATACGGAATGCAGTGTCTGTTTACCACCTCTACAATCGCCTGGCGACTGCTTTTTGCATGCCCCTCCGTAGTGGCTACCATGCCAAGAAGGAAGCACATTTTGGCTTTGCAAGAGGATCTCCACACACTCTCCGAGATCCCCATTCGTTCATTGATCTAAGACAACGTTGGAGTAAAGTAGGTACTTTTATTGAACTCAATCCCCACACCCCAGAGGCTTGAATCATGCAATCGTTTATCAGTGAAGAAGTCGTCGTTGAGACATCAACGCTGGTTGAGTTGAGGTCGCGCCTGTGGAGGCCGTAGTACAATTAGCCATATTCGAAGGTGGAATAAGATTGAGGCAACTTGCAAGGTGGCAAAGACCTATAGCGGGGACTTTTGAACTTTGCCAGTGGGTAAACTTGATTGTGTCGCGCATTTCGGGCACATTGGTTGCGGTAGCACTGCTCTCCGGGACTACATCGACTGCAACTGCGACCCTGGATGTAGGGCTTGCTTCCAATGTAATTTCCCCTACACAAAAGTAGAGCATCGGAGAAGGAGAACGTTGACGCTTTGACAGTCAATCTGGGTGGTCGTGACTTACGGGGGACTGTACTGACAGGCAGTGATGTATTGAGGATTGTGCCAGTCGGGTCTAACTCCATCACATCGCCACATGGCACACCCCAACGCACTTGAACTTGCCCATATCATCTGTTCGGGCGTTTATGCAACACAATGGCAAAGTTACAAAGCAATAAATACAAGGGAATGCAGGTAACGACTTTAGTTTCACTGACACACTCACCTGCGTGTAATGCCCACAAACATGCCTGCATCTACCGCTGACGCTGTCGTAAAACTTGATTTCACTTCTCCAACCACAAGCAGCTTCGGTGATATTGGGCGTGAAACCGGCAGCGAGTGCAAGATTCTGCCCAAGTTCACGATACTCGGGATACGTGTTCCTATCTGGATGCTCAAACACGCACCGACTGGCCCAACGAGCGGCCAAGTTTTCCAGTTTCTTCGAGTACATCTAGGTAAATCAAATGGAACTCGCCACATTACAACTGCCAGGTAATCAGTAGAAATCAGTAGAAAAATCTCCTATCTTCGCCCAACACAATGCACCCACAACAATTTGAATATGCCAGCCGTGATATGGCGTGGATGTTCAGCCAATGCGTACCATCAGCTTCATATTGCTAGCAGGGGGCTTCACACTTTCGCGCGCTCGATGGTGTGCCTCGAGGATTTGACGACGTTCCACATCAGTTGTCGGCCAAAATGCCACAGCAGATTGGAGGATGATGAGGCAGAAGGCCTTCTTGATCACATCTGCAAGGTGGAATTCTGCATTAACCGACCTCGTAGGCGTAGTGCCTGCGATTGTGTGGATTTTGGCAAACTATTCACTCACCCATCGAAACAGGCAGTAAGGCAACCGCACCAAAACCCCAAGGCATCCGCATGCGCTTATATAGGATTTCTGCTTGCACGTCCCCCTGACCCTTGGACGCCTGATTGCATTTGACTTTAAGCTGTTTATTCAGCCTTCTCTCTGTGCATCGACTTAGCACTAATATTTGCTAGAACTGAACTTCATAGTTAAGGTATCCTCACAGGAATCCACCTGGTGGAATTTGAATGATGCTACAATTTGACGATAGGCTACAAAATTGTAATCAGAGAAGCAAAGAGGTGCTTGCTCTCCTCGTGAAGCCATTTCAGCCTGCTACTTACAGGTGATACCGTGAAAACACCGCTAACTGCATCGACGATTGCTGTGACTCCACTATGCTACGCCCATCTCCCAGAAGCAGCACCTACAGCAGACATCTGTTCGATGTCGTCAAATCGGTAGTTGCATGATTTGTGCGAGATAGTGCCTCGCCCAACTTGTGGTGGCTAAGGGGACGGCTAGGCGTCGCCAATCTGGTCGAGTGAAATGCACTAAATCAAGTCGGCAACGCTATGTTCTGCGAAGCGCACAAATCTGTGACGGTTGCGGAGGCAGTGTGAGTACTAGAATTACAGACATTTCATCAAAGGTGACATCAAGACGTCGAGGATTGATGAGCATGCAACGCAATGATGAGCACTGAGACACGCTTGTCGACACACTGGTGTAGACAAATATCTATTCCTGGTGAAGAAATCCGCAGTGTGACGCTCATACTGAAGTATAAAAGGCGATGCTTGGTTGTTACAAATGCCGTCCATGCGACACATTTGCCAGTTTACCACTGCACCCACATGCTTAGTAATGAAGGGTTGCAGACAAAGAGCTGCGAAGACTCTGATCAAAGATGAATACACGTTGAGGAGTTATGGTCAAGCAATGCCTCGCTTGATTTGGCAGGATCGATTTTCCAGATGTGCCAGTGCCTGTGGCACGATTCGCGTCACATTGAGGCACTACTCCCCCCATACCTGAGGCACATATTGCCTTAGTCACCAGCATAGGCGTAGAGAGACTAGTGACGATCAACTTCATCGTCAGTAAACTCGGTACACATTCTTGCCATCACTATTTGCCACAAAATTTGGCTGCTCGAGCACCATCATATGCATTG